ATTAGAAAAAGTTAATGAATGTAAAAAGGATAAAATATATTATAAATTACCTGCTCTCAACCTTTGTAGCTATTCATTATTTTGAATTAATAATATTAAAACATAATTAATATTATTAATTGCTTATACAACTTCTTTCACTTTTTGGCGTTGATGTTGAAACAGTGCTATTTGTTTCATCTATTAAATCGTCGCGAAGCTCGCGAGCCTCTGGCGAAGCGTCTTCATCAACAAAATTATTTTGAAATCTTAATAATTCCTCGTCCGTTGCCCTCCTCTTCAATGCCTTATAAAGTTTATGTATCCAAGAATTAGTATGAAAATTATAATTACCTCTACGATACAATCCACCACATCTACATAGTTTCATTGGCATATTATTATATTATATTAAGTTAGAATATCTTTATTCATCATTTGTAATTTGAAATGCCTGTTCAAAATTGATATGAAACATTTTGTTAATGTCTTTTGAATTCATATTCACGTAGAAAAAAGAATATGGAGCAAAATTAACGGCTTGATGATACATATCTAATAATTGCTGTTTATCAACAATGGCGCTATTTTCTTCAATAAAACTCATTAATTCACTGGCATTTTTCAACCTAAAAATATATAATGAACTGGCATTCAAACGAATGATAGGCGCTAAAACATTGTATTTTTGTGTTGAACAAATCACACTTACTGCATCGTGCCTGCCTCTTGTAAATAATCCATGTAATAATTTACTATATCTAACAAATTTAGGGTCGTCTGCGTGGTCATCTATAACGATTAATATTGAATGTAGTTTCTTTATCTTTTTAGATTTCATATAATTAATTATTTTCTTCTGTCTTTCAATTACATTTTCTAAATCACTTGGATTATAATTATCAAAATAAATTTGTTCTTTTTCATCATCCACGTGCAATTCATCCCTGATATATTTTTTAACTTCTGTAAATGTAGGGTCGTTATGGACGCTGGGTGAAAATATAAATATTCTTGCAAATGAATTTCTATAAACATTCAATATTAAATTTTGAATAAGGACAGTCTTACCGCCTGTCGAAGAAGCAACTATAATACTTCTAAATGGTAATTTTGGCACGTGCTCATATTTGGATTGCTTGAATTCATATTCAGTTATGTTTATTGGTTTTATTAGTGGAACATCTGTCATAATTGATATTAAAGATATTTAGAAAATAATTTAATATTATTTATTGTATGAAAGCATTGCTATGATATGAATGGTGTCTATCGTAGTAGAACAGGCTCTTTCATCAACTTCAATCAATAAGCATTGAAGCTAATTAGTTTTGTGTCTTGCTCGCGTGTGCAATGAAAACCCCAAGTGCTGTGCCCCACCAATATTCTATTATGCATGAAAATAATAAGATTAAATAATTATTTTATCTTATTATTTATATGAATAGGAGTTATACAGATTATATTAATATAATAAATGAAATGGAGAATATAGAACGGGTTGTCATAACTGATAATAGATGTAAAAAAATATGTTATTTTATTTTAGAATTAATTAAGTTTTTGATACAATATATTAAAAATATAAATATTAATATAAATGGGAAAAAAGAAAAAGAGTAAAAGCAAAGAAAGACCAATACCAGATATTGAAGCACGGAAAGAAGCAGCAGAAAGTGTTAAATCACTAGGCGAAAGTAAGACTATAAAATGTGATAAATGTAATCACATAATGAATTTTAAAAATGAATTGACAGTAGATAAGAAAGGTGGAGTTAAAGTTAGTTGTGTCCCATGTATGTTTTCTTATAAAAAAACAGATAAAGATTTTAATATTCAGAAAAGAACAGATGGCGATATGGTTATTGAAACTAACGAACATTTGATTAATGTTAGTTTTAACAGGGACATAAGTTAGTATTTAAAGAGTAGATTTAACATAATTGCGCTTTATAAATATTTAATTAAATAAATAATTATCTAAATAAATATATAGTAATGTCTGAAAATGAGAATTATACTATTAATGATTTAATGAAGAAGATAACATTAATTGGTAAAAATATCAAAACCTTAAATGATATGATTAAATCCATTGATGACAAAATGAAACCAGTTGAACGCGAACAACAAAGCAACGAAGAGAAGGAGAAAATCGAAAAGATATTTCAAGCAAAATCTATAGGAAGACCATCGGGCGACTACCCTACAAAGCAAAAGAAATACTGTGATATGTTGAATACAGGAAAAATCAAACAACCAAAGCAACAAACATTAGAGTTTTATAAAATTACAAAACATGATGATGGAGTATATGTATTATTTGAATAATTAATATCTAAATAATTCTAATAAATGAATTTATTAGAATTATTTAGCGGAACAAAAAGCGTCGGAACCATAGCAAAGTCGCTTGGATTTAATGTGATATCATTAGACTTGAAAAATGCTGATATCAACACTGATATTTTGGAGTGGGATTACAAACAGTTTGACAGAAACCATTTTGATTTTATTTGGAGTAGTCCCCCATGCACTGAATATAGTGTAGCAAAAACTAGGGGAATTAGGAATATCGAATATGCAAATAGTATTGTCTTAAAAACTATTGATATTATCAAATATTTCAATCCTAAATATTTTGTAATCGAAAATCCACAAACTGGATTATTAAAACATCAGGAGTTTATGGATGAGTTTGAATTCAAAGATGTTGATTATTGTAAATGTGGAATGCCTTACAGAAAACGCACTAGGCTCTGGAATAACATTACAACTTGGAAACCTAGAGAATTATGTAAAAAGGATTGTGGTAACATCAGGAATAATAAACATATTGAAACTGCACAGAGACTGCCATCGGGCACCAAGGAAAATTGGGGAGACAATCCAATAATACATAAACAGGAAGATTTATACAAAATACCTAGTGAATTAATTTGTGAAATCTTGGTGAGTTTGACGGATTAAGGATTTTGAGTTTGGGGTTGGGCTTGAAACTTGAAATTTCTAGGTTCATCCAACGACAACACAGTAAAAAATGGAATTCTAAAAAAATGAAAATATTAATTTTTAAGGGGATAACCCATAGTTTATCAAATTTAGAAAACGCCAATATTCATATAGATATATCAGGAAACTCTCGCCAATTGCCAAACAGGGCAGGGAAAAATTGGCGAGAGTTTCCCCTTATATTATATATATACCCCGCCACAGAAAAAAGCCCTCCCGACCAAGTCCTTACCTAGTAGGGCTCGGTCTCGTAGGCGAAGAAGACGATGAAGATACCTGCGCGGGAAAAAACACAACAAACACATAAAAGACAAGGAGAGGGAGGGACCCACCAGCAAACCCAAAACCCAAGCCAGCCCGCCCTGCCCCCCAGTCAAAAGGGGGCGCACCCAAGCTTATTGTGCTCGCTCATCAACCTAGCACGGCGTCGGGTGTCCCACAAAAAGCTTAAAACTGCTTGGTCAAAAATGCTGATGGTGCTGGGACAAAACGCATTTTTTCCATCATCTGGGTCTGTGCGAACCTATTGCCGAATGTGCCACTTTCACGGTTGAAATCACCGATTTTGGGGTGGACATCACCGATTTTGGGGTGGAAATCACCGATTTTGGGGTGGAAATCACCGATTTTGGGGTGGACATCACCGATTTTGGGGTGGACATCACCGATTTTGGGGTGGACATCACCGATTTTGGTGTGGAAATGGCGAGGGGTCTCTGTGCTTGGGAAAGAAACTAAAAGCGGTTCAAACACGGTTGATGCCTGCTGTCTCAATCACTGCTTTGTGTCCCCATCCCTTAACCTCCGCCCCGCCTCTGGAATGTGGTAGAAGATGAAGACGTGGCAAGTGGGCGGCGCCGACGGTTGAAACCCCACACCATAAAACCCAACAAAATCCTACAAGGGACACCACGCCTACATTTTTTCATAAACTATAGGCTTGGATTTACACTTAAAGAGAGAACACCTATAGACAATAAGGATGGAAATTGAAAGAACGTATTGTAGCACATGCATGTTCAATCAAAAAGCCGACAAATTTGAAGAAGGGTTCAAGACTTGCAATATATGTAGAGCAAAAAATAAAAGACACTACCACAACAACCCTGAAAAATACAGAGAATACAGAAGGGAAGATAGAAAGAACAATCCTGAAAAATACCAAGAAAGGCAAAGAGAATACATGAAGGAATACAAAACAAGAATGCATTATTGTTCGTTATGCGATGTTGAAGTGCAACTAAAAAGCAAAGCAAGACACGAGAAAACATCATGGCATCAAGGAAACCTGAGAAGAAGCGAGAACCCTGAGGAGAAACTGCCAGAACCTGATGAAATCAAATCATAGATGGCAAAAAACATTTTAGGTGCTTGACATGTAGAGCCAGTTTTCTACCGTATCAATGGGAGAAACACATAATGGAGAAGCATAGGGAAACTTAGAGTGATTGATACAATAATATGAACACTATTGTATCATTTACTGATTAGGAGTGATGATTTTGATATTAACCACCCTAAAATCCTACAAGGGACACGCGAGCGTTAGCGAAGCTCGCAAGCTATGCGACCACGCCCCAAAAAAATATATGATGAAACTGATGAACCGAAGGAGGGGAGTGATGTTGTTGCTGTTCTATTTTTTGTCCGGGAAATGGACAAATCGTTTTTAGACAGTTCGATATTTTTTTTGATGACAAATATTTTTTGCAATATATTTTGCAAAATTTCTTTTTTTGAAATCGATAAGTTAAGAAGATTGAGGAAATGACATTTTGAAGGGTAGTTGGTGAAATGAATGAGGCAAGGAGAAAGGAGAAAAGGATGGCGAAAATTTTGGAAAAATGATGATAAAAAAACGGATGAGATGGACAGAAAGGAATGTAGAAAAATGATGAAAACAAATAAGGGTAGAAGATGGAAGATGAAAAAACATGTAGGGTGGGGGGTATGTATGAAGCAATTTATTTGCGGGGCAAGGCCCCCGACTACTCTTTCGGCCGCGCGAGGAGTTCCTGGGCCTGGTGGCCTCCGTGCCCGTGGAGAGCTCCGAGCAGCCGCGGGCTGTGGAGGCTGCGGGGGCCGGCGGCTCTCGGCGCTCGGCGCTCGGAGTCTGTTTTTTTGTTTTTTTGTTGGGGGGGGGGGAGTTTTTTTTGTTTCCCCTCGTTTTAATTGTTTTCTTCCTTTTTTCCAAGCTTCTGGCACCCTTTTTTTGGAGTTTCGATGGAGGCGATGGTGCCCAATGACCTTACTAAGTTGGTTGAACACCCAAAAGGAAGCCAGAGGAAAGACTTGTCCTTGGAACATAATAGTAGTATGGGACACGTTGCACTAGAATATCAGTTATTCCGCTGCTTTTCACCTGCTAGCGTTTCATATTTGTTGCCGTTGCGGATCCCTTACCAGCGGTGACGTATCACTTGTCGCAGGTAGGACATTGATCCGAGTTCATCTCCAAACCTGTTGCGAAAGAACAAGGACCCCCCCCAGTCCACACCCGTCATTCACCCTACGGTTTTGCGATCACTTGCAAAATTTTTGTGGGTTCAAAGGTGGAACCTCCCCTTATCCCACGCAGATGGCTGCGGCTCAAAACATGGTACCCCAAAATGACCTTGAGGCCTTAGGAAATGGAAAAGACACAACTTGCGTTATCCCAGCTCTTTGCTTTTGAGCCACGCCCTTCCCCCTATGAATTTCGGCCCTAAATATTGCAAGTTAGCCAACGGCACCACCCACAAAACAATGGTTGACGTTACAGTCAAATTGGTCGGTCTTGTCGTAAACTTGCCATACTGTGGATGGACGAAACGCATTTCGCGCCACCGTTCAGCAACCTTGGGAATGATTCGATGCCCCGGTAAATGCCAACCAACGTTATGTTTGCAACATCCGTGGTTTCCTTTCGTGTTGCGAAACTCGATTTCGGATCTCGTGCGTCTTCACCCACCGTGTGGCGAGTTGGATCGGCATCCTGGCACCCACCGCCCCCTAACATGGTTGTTGATGGGAAACATTTTACATGTTTGCTTGTTGTGGCTTCGTGGTTGAAATCCCACCACTCAACTGCTAAAATCTGGGGGATTTTTTGCCCCCCAATCCCAAGGTCAACCAAGCCAACTTCGGATCTTTGGGCGAGGTTCTGTGGCACTTCCTGCGGGACATCGACCCTTGGAGCCTTGATGCCTGGCGCCTCTTCGCGTCGATGGGGGCGCAAAGGGCCAACCAGCAGGCGCGGGCGCGCGGGCTTCCGCGCTCGCCGGAAGCCCCGGCCCCGAGCGGTGGGGCGCCTCGTCGGTTTTTGCTCGGACTCGGCGGCCCGTTTTCTTTTCTTTTCTTTTTTCCGGCTTTGCGCGGGGAAAACAAAAAAGCAAAAGAACAAAACTTCGACCAGCTGGACCTGGGACGCGAAATGTTTGACCCCCAAATAATAGGGGTTCCTTCTAGTTTCCCTGAAGCGAGCCCAGCGTGGAGGGCGGTTTTCTCCAAAAAGAAGCCGGGGCACCCCGCAAAAATGAGGTTCCCCGCCCCCCTTTCCCCGGTTTGCAAAAGCCGAACATGTACTGCAAATACTTGGTGGTTCCCAGCCTTTGGTGTTTAACTGTTTGTAGGTGGTGTAGTGGGGGGGCCTCCATGACGACTCAGCAAAAGTAAACTCTTAGCAGGGGCTCTGAGGGCAGCGCAGAGAAACAGAGTGCGTGGCTGGCGGGACGGCGGGAGGCTGTGTTTTGTCCATGCGAGTGTTTTCTCAGTGCTTCTGAGCATCTCTTTTCGGATGTGGGTCTGAACACCGAAATGAAAATCACTTGCATGGAACACCGTGGCGCCGGGGTGGGAGTGGGGTGGGGGTTGGCATCTGGGGGTTGACGCCAAGTGCCGCGAAGCTGGCGCAGCTTGCTCGCGACATAAAGAGGTCAGAAAGAGCAGAATGAAACCAGCGAAACCCCAGGGAGCCGCTGGAGAACCACCAAGAAGCTGTGCCTTTCTTTTTAAATGAAACATATCCACTGAAGTGGCCAAGTCGTCACACGAGCCACTGTGGAACCTACGCACAGCTGCCGCAGTGGAGCTTTCAAAGCCGAGCTTGTCCCGATCCGATCGCCATGTCGGACATTGAAGATTGGGGCCGCGCGGAGGCCGGGTCTTGTCTTTCTTGTTTTTGGTGTCGTTTTTCATGAGGCGAGCGGACTTTCCAAAGGCCCAACACTCAAGTTGATGTTTTAAGGCGTGGTTTTGTGTGTTTGAAGCAAAGGTCATGGCCAATTGGTGTTTGTTTTTTTTTGCCTTTGGACCTCTTTTCGGTTCTACTGCAGACCACTGCGCCGATTTTTTCGGCCAAAAGCCCCAGGTGACCTCCAAGTGCGTGGGGGCCATGACCTGCCGGGTCTTGGCGCCGGAGATCTTCCGGGAGGTGGTTGCGCGCTCAAAGCCGGCCCTGGGGCCGGGGAACTTCTCGGAAGTGGGCAAGGACGGGGGGGGGGGGGGAGAGGTTTTTTTTTTCTTCTTCTTTTCCCCCTTTTTTATGTGTGGCCGAATGTTGTTTTCTTCTTAGGGGGAAGGGAGTTTTGGTCGGTTCTTGAAGCGAAGCGAAAAACTAAAAGGTGAAAACCACATTTTTTGTTGGGGGGGACCCTAACAACAGACACACCCATATGATATCGCCCTAGTGTAGTTATCTGGTCATGATATCACAACCACATTTTTCGTCAAGCGCTGCCACTACATGTTTAATATTTTTCTATCCGGCCCACAGATTTGTGTTCCAGGACATTGCCTCTGCGGAGGAGTACACTGCAGTCCGCCAAGCGATCTTCAGCTGCCCATTCAAAGCGATCCGCTGGAGCAGACAGCCGAGGGTGAGATTGGAGCAACTGCCACCTCTCTACGAAGGCTTTCCCAAACGGATTGAAGACAACGTTTACTTTATGGGCCACCCGGATGCCAACACCTTTGCATGTGCCGGCTTCTTCATACGGCACGAGGGTCATAATATTTTGATCGACCCGCCAATCGCGCATCCCAAGCTTTTGGAGGCAGTGCAGCAGATGGGTGGAGTGCAACACTTGTGTTTTACCCATGTAGATCACACTGGGAATGCCACCGCCTGGTATGAAGCAACGAAGGCATCCCGACTGATGCACAAGGACGATATGGTCGAGGCAGAAAGTAAGTACACTCCATTTCCAGTCACCAAAGGCTTCGAGCATCTTTTGGAGCTCAAAGCAGGGGAAACCACGGCCTTGGAGGGCCTGGCTGAATTTCAGATCATTCACACACCCGGCCACACAGCTGGGAGCATCATGTTTTTGTACAAGAAGAAGTTCCTCTTCACGGGGGATTCATTGCATTACTCAGCTGTCAAGGGACATCTGGTTGCGGCCCGTGTCCAATGCTGGCAGAGTTGGGAGTTGCAGACTCAAAGCCTCCTGGTCAACATCTTTCAGGTGCATGTGTTTGCTTAAATGTTGCTTAAATATCTTTGTTGGGCTACCTTTGGCCCTTTACTAGAAGCACTCTGGCTTTTTTTTTTTTTTTGCTTTTTTTATTCCTCGTTTTCCGAAAGAGAAACAGCACATGGTCAGACGTGTCTTTCTCCGCTTTTTCTCCGGCGCATCCAAGGTTTTCAGGCTACTCTTCATTGCTGGTTTGGCTTGGTGGTTTGACAAATTGAAGCCCTGCTTCTTGTAGAGGGCAGATGGCGTTTAATCGCTAAACCACCACTTCGAGGCAAGCTGAGGTTTGGAACACCTCCCTTTGGCCCTTTACCAGAAATGCCTTGGCTGTTTTTTTTTGTGGTTTTTGTCTTTGTTTTTGGAATTCAGGAGCAACAGCACATTGCCGTGTGTTCCTTTCTCCTGTTTTTTTTTCTCCGGCGCATCCTTCCCAGGTTTGGAACGCCTGCCACAGGACTTCCAGTGGGTCCTGCCCGGGCACGGCGATTGGCGGCGCTTCGAGAGTCCCGGCGCCGCCCGCGCCAGCCTGGACCGCTGCGTCTGGTGGATGAAGCGGCAGGGCAGAGGCCGGACCTGGCTGCCGTGGCTCGGCGTCTTTTCGTTTTTGTTTTTTTTTTTTTTGGGGGGGGGGAAGGGGAGGGGATCTGTAGAGGTTTTTGGAATGAAACCCGTTCGTGATGTTTTTTTTGGGGGGGGCAAGGGGAGGGGATCTTTAGAGGTTTTTGGAATGACACCCCACAAGGTGAACCTCTTGCGTTTTTTTTTGGTGGGGAGGGGGGAGCCATCAAGGTGGTATGTGATTTGGATCGAGTGCCGAAAGCTGCCGCCTGGTCTTTTCACCTGGTTGGCCGACAGCTTCTTGATGACGCAGCCTGGACTTTTAGTGGATCAGGGCTCCTTAAAAGATACATGTTGCCCATTTGAAACATGGCTTTTTCCACCAAAATAAAGGGAACCAACCATTTGTATGATGTAAGGATCCTTGCGGATGCGTGTCTTCTTGTTCTTCATGTTTTATTTTCAGGCGCCGCTGAAGCAGTCGCTAAGCGATCATGTATTGCTTGGGTTACTACCTAGGAGTCTCCATGACCCTTAACAAATGGGTCCATGACCCCTTAATTTTGGGGTAGTGACCCCATTTTTTGGGGTCATGGAGACTCCAGGCATCTCTCTTTGGGCGTCCTAAGCAAATCCAAGGCAAGGTGCGAAGGATTCACTTCCCAATTGGACACTGCCATCTTGGTTCACATCCTTGGTACTGCTAATCCCTCCTGCCATGCTTCTGTTCTGCGCGATGCCGTGGACGACTCTAAAGCGAGCCCTGCCGCTTTGATTCTCAAGACTCTTGAGTTGGAGTCTCCAAGGCCCATGGTCTGTGAGTGTTCTTTACACGGGGGCCAAGTGTGTGAAAACCATGCCCCTCCCTTGAGCCAAGAGGGGCATGTCACAAACACTTGGCCTCACCCTGTTGATTCCCTCGATTGTCCAACGAAGCGGCCCGAAGCGATGGCGGCATGTGTATAGCGACTGGAGCTTTCTTGCTGCAAAGTTGGGCGTGAGCCAAAAGGTTTGCGCGATTGCACGCTTCTATTATTCGCCGTGTTCTGGTTTATTGGTGGCTAATCGTCAGACTCGGACTGAGCTCAATGATTGCAGCACTGCCACCCTGGGCGACAAGGCCTTTGCAGGTCTTCTGCCGCAGCCCAGAGGGAAACAACAAAAAAACCGCTTGCACAGGTGCCCAGGCTGCGGGCCTTTCCAAAGGCCTTCGGCTTTGACAAGGTTTCCAGACCAAAGCCCCAATCGAGATCTACACGGTGAGCTGGCGTCGGATTTGGTGGGATTTGGCTGTTCGCCTGCCGTCATGAGCCCTGCAGCCCTTCCATTGGTTTTCTTCGTTTTGCTGCACAGTCCAGTGCTTACAAATTCTTGAGCGAACGCGACACAAATCCTAAACCCATTGAAAAGCACCCTACAACCCACGCAAAACAATTAACCAAACCGACCCTACCCCTACTAACGCCAACCTCAAACCACCTTAAACCCGCCCTAACCCAACCCTAATCACCCCCTAAACCAACACTACGCCCCCCTTTCCAGGCCACCCCTAAACCAGCCAAGGTTTCCCTCTAAAATGTCTTCCTAAAGTTGACCCCCAGGTCTACGACTTCAAGATCCGCCTGCGGGGCTTGTTGTCCGCAACTCCTTGGAGGGAGGTGGAGGACATGGCCATGGAGCACAGCCGCCTGCGCCTTGGTCCAGTGAAAGTAAATGCAGGGATTCAACCACCAACTGGTGCAGGTTTAGAGCCGTCCGAGGGTGCGGGCCCTAAGATGGTCTGAAGCCCCACCAGAAGAGAAGCCCCCTTGCAATCGGCCGGGGCTTTATGAATCTGGGGGTCCCATTACTTGGAAGTTGTTACCCGTGAAACGCGATAGCCCACGAACTTAGGGGGACTTACAAGTGGGTTATCGCCTAGGTGATCAACAACTTACTACCTTGGCCGAACATCCAAGTAGCCTTGAGGCTTTGCTGGGGTTGGCGGTCGCTAAATAGAACGCACCATTTGAAGTTAGTTGCGGGTTGGATCTCGGTGGCACTATCCTCCCTCGAATCGACCGCTTTCCCGTTCCAATTTTTGGTCATGGCCCCAAAACGTTCACCTCTTGTTTTTGGGTCCCTTCCGGGGCAACTGACCCACATCAATCTAGTGGCTGTTCTTGATGCCGCACTTGTCGACTTTCCTGGCAAAGTGCGAACCAAGCAACGTGGAATCCACGGTGAAATTCGGGGGTTCTCACAATGATTTCTGTTTTCTTTGTGGCGGGTGAAGCCCATTGCCGATTTTTTGCAAATGTCCACCCCGGTTTGGGCCGGCTGATTGTCCTGTGGGTTGATGGACAACCACCCCGGAAGACCGCCAAACCACCGCACCAAGCAGCAAGCCTTGGGTCTTTGGGCGTCTTTGTTCACCCCGGAGGTGCGCTCGGAGCATGCTCCGCATCGAGGTCTTCCAGCAGTTCTGCCTCTGGCACCTGGCGACTTCGCAGGGCAAAATGGTGGTCGAGCTGGAGCCCGAGGAGCTGACGGCCGACGGCCGCGGAGAAAAAAAACGGGCTCGCTGGGTAGGTAGTTTTGGTCTTCCATGTGCTGAAGTGGAAATATTTGTCAGTTTCTCTTGGTTTTGGAGAAAGGCGATTTCACTACTGGACATATTTTTGATTTTATCAGGGGTCTGCAGCAAATGGGAGTTGTTGGTCGTTGCTTTTGGGGGGGTTTGGCGGGCCGTGTCTGTAGCTGCTGTTTGCTTTTCTCCGCGCTGGCTTGTTGGCTTTTTTGGTACCGGTGCAATGTTCTGGCATGCCAAGGGTTGAAGCCGGGCACTTAAGGCAATACCTCCTCCCGCCGCTGTTGGGGGTGGGGGGATATCAACAGCTGCGGGGTGGGGGGCCGCGCCACATCCAGCTGTGCCCCCTTTTGACATTCCCAGTTCCCTTGCAGAAGGAACGGGCAAATAGCATGTAAGTCCAAATTGGCGACTGGGGCCATATTAATTCGGGGTGTCCCTCTAATGTTGGCCCCTGGTGGGTGTGAAAATCAGGCGTGAACATGAAGCGCATGTGTTTTTGAGTCATGCCAAACTGATAAAAAAAAATCAACTCTGGCAAAGGCCCTCCACTACGCCAACTTGGAGTGAGGAGTGTGAGATGTCGCACTTGGCGGAGGTCTACCGCGTCACCGCGGCCAACCGCGACTTCTTGGCCTACCAGCTGCTCCCAAGCCTCCGGACGCCGCGCTTCGCACCACCTGCAGCGTCCGTGTTTGTGGGCCCGGTGGTCTTGCAACTTCCCCAGAATTAGCTCCTCTTTTTTTGTCTTCTTCCTTTTTTGGGGTCCTTTTGTTTTCCAGCAACCAGAGAAAGAAAAAAACAGATGCACTTTTGCCGGGGCCCGATTTTTCCAGAGGCAAGTGGTCTGCCTGGGCCGCGGAGTGGCCCGGCAGGCGATGCAAACGGCTGGAAGCTGAATCTTTTTGGTCGCCTCGTTGTTTGAGCTTCGTTAAAGAAATCTCCCTCATGTGAGTCGTTGGTTGTTTGAGCTTCCTAAAAAACGTCTCCCTCATGTGCATCGTTTGTAGAGAAAAGTAGGGGCCCTTCTTGGCATCCCCCTTTTGTATTTTTTTCAAAAGGCGGCACCAGTTGCGGCACCTCCCAAAAGGGTCACATGTTTTGACAACATAGGGGAATGTGCTTTTGCAGGGTAGCCATTGTCGCCTCTCCAAAACCTGGCAGTTCCGTTGCCCCTTCCATTTGCTTTTCAGAATAGTTTTTTGTTTTCCCTCGTTGGTTTCAAAAGGAAATTATCACTATACCGGACATATTTTTCAATTTTCATTTTTGCCCAGGGGTCCAAACCAATTGGCTGCCAGTGTCATGTACATACAGGGGACTAGCCCGCTCCAAAGTGACGCAGGGGTCCAAAAAAAAATGGTTCCGCTCATTCCCAGCCGCCTGCCCTGCAGGGGATGGCCATGCTGCGCCAAGCGCTGAAGTTGCGCTCCTCCTGGGCCCTGCGGATCTTCGTGCTGTCGGATGCGGAGGGCTGGGCGGACTGGCGACATGACATAATCAGAGGTGCGTTTTGCTTGGATTTTAGGACTTTGCTTTTTGCCAACTAGTGGGTTTTCCATGAAACCACTGAAAGTTTAGCTTTTAGCAGGGGAGCAGAAAGCAACCTAAGGCTTCTCCCCACCATCAAACTGGACGCCACCCGGACCCCCGTTTTTTCAACTTCTTGGGCCATTTTGGGCGTCCCTTTTTCCACCCCCGACAGGTTTGGGGTGATTGTCCATCGGACTTAAAGCAGCATCTTTAACACTTCTGCCCGTTTGGGTTTCCTTGAAGTTTTCTTTTACCCGGCAACAGTTCACTTTTTACAAGGGTAGTTTCCCTTTCAACTTGCAAAAGTTCACTTTTTTTCTGTTCCCCCGGGCCTTTTGGCCAGGCAACAGGCGGTCGAGGAGCTTCGGACGGAGGTGTCGCTAGAAGGCGTCAGCTTTGAAGCGGTGCATTTTGAGCGGAGCCCGCAGTTCCAAGCCTACCTGCAGCTCGGCCAGGCGGTTCGCACCCTGCTGCGGTTTTTGTTGTTGTTCTTTCTTGTTTTTCTCTATGGCTTGTGCTGCGGCGGGTTCTCTCATGTTGACCCCATATTCATCAACCAACCAGTTTATTAATAGGGGTTGTTTTGCGGGATTAGTGTTAGTAGCCGGTGTTGTCCTTTGAAGTTCCAAGCTTCTTTCACGTTTGTTTGCAGTGGCAGCGTTGCAAGGGCATTTGCAAAGAAGCAAAACAGATTGTTACATTGTCTGCACACTTGCAAAGGCAATAAGTTTCGCACCCTTTTGTGTTTTTTTCCACGCAAACTGGTGGCTTGTTCCAACGCGGCGGGTTCTATGATGAATTCAGATTTTAGCCCCGAAGTAAGGAGAAAGTACCCGGCGGAGTGCATGTTTCAGAATGCTGTCGAGAGGGCAATGTTGGCCCGAGTGCTTTGTCATGAGCTGCTGCTCAGTTCAAGTAGTTAGCAACCTTGTTGGTTGCCTATCTTCAAGTTGAAGTCTATGCGGCGCTGCGCGTACGCACGCAAACAAGAGCGAGAGACAACGAGAAGTCATACTGTGAGTGGATGAAATCGTGCACCACTTCGAAACCATGGCAAACCCATCATTCCAGGGTTTCTTAGGCGGTGCGAAATGGATTTCGTCCATCCACAGCATGCAAGTGCACATACAGCTCGCGCACGCGCGCGAACTCTCAGGGCCAGCCACCAGAGACCAGGGAGCGCACATTGCTTTAAATCAGGATGCTGGGCAATTTAACTGGCCTCATGATTTTACCATGATCAAAGCATATCAAAGCACCCCCTCAGTGATGGATTAAAGGGAAACAACTCATTTTCTGACTTTGACAACCCCTAGAAACAAACAAAAATATGACCCAAGTTTAAGTGCGTGCTATTGGGTGGTCTGAATCTTCTAGGTCCAAGTTTGGTCTCATTGAGAGTTGCAATTTCAAGTCGAAGCATGGACCTATGCTGAAGCTGTCGGGCCGCAGAAGCTGTCGGGCCGCATGCCATGTTCACGTGCCGCGCCGTGGGAAGCTTCTGGCTTCCATTTGTCTCCTATGCGGGTTAATCAAATGGAAGCTCGTCATATGTCAATGGCTCAGATGCCAAATCCGGAGCTATGCCTGAGGCTCATTTGTTCCCACCAAATCCCCGGGCGGGAGACTGCACGAACACATGAAACCCCACACGCAAGCACGCACGCGCACGA